GAATTGTTCCGCAAACTCTTGTTTTATGTAGTAATAAAGTTTCTGCAATTGAAATGCTACTGTAATACTTACCTTGGTATATGTGATGCCCCAAATCCAGATACGGCCGAAGCAGTGACAGAATAGAGTCATTCAATTTCTTCCCTTCACCTGTGTAAATTTCCATATTGCAAATATACCCAGTCTTGCTCTCACATACCATTCTTACAAGTAAACCATATTTAATAATTTTAGCTGGGTTGTAAGTTTGAAATAGAAGACGTCCCCTCCAGGGAATCATGCCTTCATCTAATGATAACTCTCGCATAGGTTTATATATTGTTTGAAATTTACTAATAAAGTGGTCGAGTACAGACTGAATTTTAAATAGCCTGGATGAAGATTTAGTCATGTTTGCATTGTCATTGAAATGCCAATAAGTCCAGATTTGTTCAAAACGATTTCGAGTCATCGTCTGAGGAAATATTGGGACCGCTAGAGCTGGATTTGTAGACCAATATTCTTTCCAAGTATCCTTTCGAGTACGCCCCATTAGCACTATAAGTCCTAAAAATTTTTTCATATCTGTTGGAGTAACAGGAGACCACTTTTTTGTTTTTGAAATTTTGTGCTTTCCCAAATTTTGATTATAATATATGTTCGATTGATGACAAAAGAATTCAAACAGATCGTTGTCAAAAATCAAGTTTGTGACTTCAATGATGTTCTTACAATCAGATGGTAGAACTGTAACCCCAGAATTACCTTCAAATTTTTCCAAATTAGGCTGAAAGTCCTCTTTTGACCAATCATTATCTTGGCAACCAAGACGCAAATTACACTCAAAATCATGTGTGGAATTGTTCAAATTTTCAGGTTCGGAATCACTTGAAATTACTATTGTCCGCCTTTTTGAAGGAGTAACTGTATCATTGCCACTGTCAAAGCTTTCATCACTTTCACTTGGAATATCTGATAAATTGTCAGCAAATATATCCAGGATTTTATCATGTTCTTCGTCACTATCCATGGTTACTGAGCACTTTAAAAATATCAAATTGATATAAAAAACAGTTATTTTTATTACTAACGACAAGGGGTTAATCACTTTTAATTCCTTTGATAATTTTTAACTTCAGCAAATGCGTTTTCCGTTACACTGTTTCTAAATGACAATTAAAAGCTGAGAATTCTCGAGATTGGCCACAAGCCTTAGGACAGAAACCGCGAGAATTCTCGTGCTCCGTCCGCAATTTAAGTGATGCTCAATCTCCCACAGCTGCTTGGTTCAAGGGCCATGACCCCAAATACAATGCCTTGAACACAGCAATGTAAACTAGGGCTCGGTGACCGGGGGTCTCGGTCTTTCTCAAGGTGGGCGCGTGCTCCACGACAGAGGTCCACCTGGAGAAAGTGGGCCCACCCAGGGCGTGGAGAAGTGCATTATACCTAAAGGTCAAGGCCATGGGGGGTGGGGGGGTGCAGTGGTGGGGGGGGGGGGGCGTGCGCATGCGCCACAGGTCGGCCATGGAAAGCGGGGAAGAAGCCCGACGGGTGGGTGGGCTCTCCACCCGCTGCCAGTCCACCTTCCGTTGGTGGAACCTATGCCATGCAGACCCTTCCCCACGCCTGGGGCCAATGCCTCACCGTCTCGCAGCGCGAACTGAACAGTCGGAGTCTCGGAGGAGCAAAGGGAAGGAATCACGGACCGGAAGCGCCCACCCTTCCCGGGGCCTTTCCGGGGCAGAGGACCTTGGCAAAAGCTCATTGGCTAGTGGAGACCGGAAGAGGCTGGGTTTGGCTACGCGCAGGGCACTATGGGTGTTGTGGTTTGTGTCTGTGGTGCAGACTTTCCAGACTGCTTAGAGGCCGGCAGGTCCCGCTGGCAGAGCAGCTGCCTGCAGGGGAGAAGCGGGTGTGAGGCAGCTGCGTCCCTGTGGCTCTGTTTTGCTATTTCTGATTCCGGCGAGACCTCGCTCTTTGAGTCTTGCTTTCAAAGACCTTCATTTCGTCTCGTATCTTAGGCGTTCCTCTGTATAACACCCCTTGTCACCTACAGACCCTTCTTTACTAGTATTCTTCCTAGCTGGCTTCGCCTGGTCTTAGGTCCCTCTTCTCCGCAAAGGTACAGAGGTCTCTGAGTCCTCTGCCCTTCTGTCGCTCCTGTGTGCCTTTTCCTGTCGCTGCCCTAGACAGATCCCCTCTAACATTCTGCCCCAGCTCCGGAATCATGCCAGGGGCCCAGGAAAAGGATCCCAGGAAAAGGATCCCACAGCAAACGTTTGCAGGCACAAGCAGATCCCACGCTCCTACGTCAGCAGCCTTGCAGCTCACTTCTTTTTGTTCTCCTCTGATCATTGCCTCTTTTCTGGTCCCACCTCTACGTAGGCTGTTTGATGGGCCACTCTTGGCCATGAACAGCCACCCCTGGTCCTGTCACTTTGTCTCTGATTTGATTTAAAGGACAGAAAGGGGAAAATGAAAGAAACTGGAGTGAAAAGAGAAACCACTAATTAGCTTTCCTAGAAGTCAAGGAGCTAGATGGTGAAAGAGAAGGAAGAGTGCAAACCTCTTCTTGTACCTTCACACACAGTTTGGTGCTGACTGTCCGAGGGCTCTGTGAACCTTGTGCTGGGGATAACTAGCCCCAGATCACCCAGGTGCTGGGGGTCCAGTCAGTGAGGACAGACACACTGATGCAGGATGGCATCAGGCTCTGCCCTGCAGACTTCCCGCCTTTCCTCTGCTCACTCCCATTTCTCCCTCAGCTCATCCCAAAGCCTTTTGCCTTTTCACATCTCCCTCTGGTCCATGCTCTCCTTCCCGCTCTGAAGCTCCTTTCTCTCCGGTTCTAGCCCAAGCTGCTTCTTTTGTATCTAGCGCTGTCACTCTGACAACCATGTTGAGGGGGGATTTAGAAACAGACCTTCACCTTTATAAGAGAAACGCCTATTGACTTTCTCATTCCAGGGCTCTGCATTCTCTCAACTATTGTGCACATTACTTGTACTAGAATCACCTGCAGATCTTTCATGACCCATGCTCCAGAATTATGGTATGCCATGCAGCCAAAATGGACTTAACTCCTTTGCTGCCTATTTAGTGGTGTTAGGAATCTGAGGTTTGAGAAGTTAATTTCATGGAGACAGTAGTCAAGAAGGACCCATTCATATGTGGTGAGAAGTAGAATCCCATGTGAATGGGAAAGATATGCCTTAGCATTAAACAAACAAACAACAACAAGCATGCCTTAGTGGATTAACTAGGCTAGAACAGGAGATGCTTTTTAACTGTTAGTTGAGAACTATCCCATCCCCCAGTGTGTGTGAGAGGGAATTTCCGAAGAATAAATAATCTAATAATCATGCTAGTCAGTGTAAGAATGCCTTACCCTACGTGTGGCAGGTACATTTGCCTCTAAGGCTCTTTATGGCTAATACTAACTTAATTGGCACTTCCTGAGACCCACCACAAAGAAGTGAAACTTCATCTTTGATGATGCTTAAAATAATGCCTCTCCAAGCCCCCATATGATTTGATCCCCAGCTACTTCTCCAATCTCACCTCCTACCCTCTTCCTTATGGTTACTGTTGTAGATACCCTGGTTTTATTGCTGTTTTGTGAACATGCCAAGTACACGCTGCACCTGGAATACTTTTTTTTTAGTTAAACCTGTTGAGGGCTTTACTCAAATAGTCATCAGAGAGGCCTCCTCTAGCCACCTTATCTAATATAGAGCCGTTAACAGTCTGTCCCTGTGTCTTCCTTAATTCCCCTCTATTATCACTACTTGAAAATATGAGATATTTGTTTACTTCCTCTTATTGATTTTTTTTCTGGAGAGAGAGAAAGAGAGAGAGAGAGAGAGAGAGAGAGAGAGAGAGAGAGAGAGAAAGGTCCACTTGTTGTTCCACTTATTTATGCTTTCATTGGTTGCTTCTTGTAGTATGTGCCCTGACTAGAGATAAAATCTGCAACCTTGGTGTTTCGGGATGATGCTCTAGTCCAACCAACTAAGCCACCTGGCCAGGGCTATTTAAGAGTCTTTTATGAAATTGTAGCCAAGCAAAAGTTCATAGTCTAAGTAGGTAGGATCAACTCTTGTGTATTTGGGACGAGGGATTATTTGTCCTGCTTGACATGCTTCTGAACTGACTTCTGTGCTACTCTGTTCGGTCTCGGACCGCCATGCCGAAGGATGAGCCTGACCAGGCAAGGAGCACAGAAACATCAAAGAAAATATTGACGACAGAAAATACTTTCTTAGCCCATCAAGAAGGATAAGTGTACATGCTCTGCAGATGTTGGCTAGTTTACCAGGGAAAAAAAGTAGACAATTTGAAAGATGGACTGTAGGTGGCAGTTTTGTTTCAGTTGAAGAAACTGGTTGGTCAGCTATGAATATGTCTCTGTCAGTATCTACTCTCCACATCCACTCACTTGGACTCAACCTCCTCTACTTGGCTCAGACATCACCCTGTCACCTTTTCAGCTCAGCTCTCCCTCTCATGTTCTCATATCTGTATATACTTACATTTGTGCTTTTAGTATCATGGTCTCAGCTTGAAGCAACATTTTTTTTTTTAAATCATTCTTTTAAAAAAATTAAATTTATTGGGGTGAAAGTGGGTAGGAGTGTTTTACAAGTTTCAATTGTACAAGTTCATAATACATCATTGATAGATTGCACTGTGGGCTCACCACTCAAAGTCTAGTTTTCTGTCACCATATATTTGACCCCCTTTATCCTCTTCAGCTTCCCCCGACCCGCTGCCCCCTGGTAATCACCATACTGTTGTCTGTGTAGATGAGGGTTTTTTGGACATTTGTTGCTTTCTGTTTTGTAGCTCCCATATGGGGGAAATCATGTCCTTTTCCATCTGACTTACTTTGCTTAACATGATACTCTTTTTATTTTCCCCACAGAATTTGGCTTTTATTCTGGCCTCACACATACAGCTAAGACGACACAGATAGGCAGTACTCCAACCCCTAGGACCATTTCACCCACCCAATCTCTTCAGCCCTCCTCCTCCCACCTCGCCCTTCCTGCCAAGCTGCTGGGCAGGGGCTCTGCCTGCACCTCACCCCGGGCATGCAGCATGAAGTGCCCATGCAGCTCCCCGAGGCTGTCGAAGGAATCCTCGCACTCCATGCAGTGGTAGGTGCCCTCCTCGTCCTCGTCCTGCTCCTCCTCCCGCCCAGCGGGCTGGCCCTGGCCCTCCCCAGCCCGCGGTGGCTCCCCCTCTCTCTCGCCCTTGCCAAGCACCCTGCCTTCGGGAGCTGGTGCTTCCTGGGGGGCGGCAGCGGGACAGCGGAGCCGGCAAGGTGGAGTGCCTGGTGGGGCCTCCCCGAGGGATGAGCGGCCACAGAGCTGGCAGGGCTGGGCTGGGGGGTCCGGGGGCTGGGCTGCACGGAGAGCCCGGTGGGATGGGCCCCCCCGGCCCCCACCCAGGCGCTGCTTCACTTTGTAGCCAGGGTCATATTCGGGGTCGTCAGTGGTCTCCTCTTCCTCCTCCTCTTCATCTTCTTCCTCTTCGGAGTCCGGCTCTGAGTGTGTGTATTCGGAGTTAGAGGAATGCTCAGGGCCTGGAGAGAGGTCCTCATCGTCTTCTTCCAAGCTGGCATAGCCTCCAGTTTCAGCTGGCTCACGAGTCTCTGTCATGGCCAGAGGAGGAGGCAGGAGCAGAGCAGAAGCTAGGCAGCGTCTCCAGCTCTCCGCAGCTACACCTTGGTCACAAGTTCTCTAATGCAGGATGTCAGCCGGTAGAGGGATGCGGCTAGGGCGGCCCCCGCTCGGGCTCGGCGGCGGCGGTGGCAGCTGCACGCCTCAACATGATACTCTTAAGATCTATTTATTTTGTTGCAGACGTCAGTAATTCATCCTTTCTTATGGCTGGTAGATATATATATATATATATATATATATATATATATATATATTCATGTACTTTATCCAATCATCCATCAAAGGACACTTAGGTTGTTTTCATGTCTTGGCTACTGTGAATAATGCTGCAATGAACATGGGGCTACATATATATTTACAAATAAGTGTTTTCAAATTTTTTTGGTAGCTACCCAGAAGGGGGATTGCTGGGCCCTATGGTAGCTCTATTCTTAATATTTTGAGGACCTTCCATACTATTTTCCTTAGTAGTTGTAACAAGTTATACTCCCACTAGCAGTGTGTGAGGGTTCCTTTTTCTCTATATCAAACATGTCAAACTCAAAGGCTAACATGGACCAAATAAGCAAGGTTTAAGTTTATATGGGCCACAAAAAAGTAAAAGCTTCAATTTTCATAGAAATGTAGGCTTATTTTGATAAAGACATGCTGAATACAAAAGGCTGAAATAAATGAGTCATCATTAACATAAAATAATAGAACATTTTAATAAAAATTAATATTTTTTCTTGAACATTAACTTACCAGACACCGAATAACTGCACAAATTAATAAGTGTAATGCAAATAAACCTATTTTTCTTGTTCTCTGAAAGTGAAATATTTCCTGTTGCGCACACCAAACAAGTCAGTCCAAGACTAATGACGTGGCAATTGGCTGCTAAAATATTCGCTGCTAGTATTAGTGGAGAGAAATGGTGCGCCTGTGCGTAAGTCCCATAAGGGAAATGAATGTAACATGATTATAGTAATCAGTCACTAGTGAACGTTGTAGTTCGTTATTAATAACTAGAGGCCCAGTGCATGGAATCATGCACATTGAAAGTAAATTAATTAGAAGGTGGCCGATGGGGTGGGACTGGGTGAGACTGGCCAGACATGGCCTGGACCCAACCTCCCGCAGTCCCTCCCCAGCTGGCCGCACTTGGGACTGAACCGGGGCTCGAAGGGCATCTGCAGAGTGAGCAGCGTCCCTCTGGCAGGTGGGGTCCCGTGGTCTGGCTTGCGGGGATTGGACCGAACCCAGCAGTCCAACATCCCCTAAGGGGTCCCGTAGTGCGAGAGGGCACTCTGCAAAGTTGCTGTCGCTCGGCAGCTCCTGTGTTGAGTGTCTGCCCCCTAGTGGCCAGTGCGCATCATAGCTACCGGCCGGTCATTTAGGCTTTTATATATATAGACTAGAGGCCCGTTGCACAAAAATTTGTGCACTCGAGTGGGTACCTCAGCCTGGCCTGTGCCCTCTCGCAATCTGGGGTCCCTTGGGGGCCCCTTCCCCTGGCTGCTGGCACCAGTTTTCCTCCGGCATCCAGAACCCAGGCCTTCGCTCTTCGCCGGGAGGGGCCCGTGCAGTGGGCAAGGGGCTTAGCTTTTTTAAAAATACTTCTGAACGTTTGGTAAATAACCCTGTAGGAATCTACTTTCTGAAACATGCTGGTTGTTAAGGGCTGATGTGGGTAATGAACAAAATGTATGTTAAAATCCTAATCCCCAGAACCTCAGAATGTACCTGTATATGGAGATAAGATCTTTAAAGAGGGGATTACATTAAATTGAGGCAGACCTTTAGCCCATCTCACTGAAGTCCTTATAAGAAGAGGAATGTTGGGGTCCAGCCCCCACAGGTTCAAGGGTTCCCAAAGGTGTGGACAGAGTCGGCGAAGAAGGAATGACACAGAGGCAGCGTTTAGGTGATCATCATAGCAAGGTTCTTTTTTTATTGTCCTGTTACATTTATATTTATACTATTTGATCCTATAAGCATGCCTCTATAAGTTTTTTTTTTTTTTTTTTTTTTTTTTTTTTTTTTTTTTTTTTTTTTTGCCAGAGAGAGCATAGGGTCTGTTTATTGGGGAGTTAGTCAAAGGGGGAGCTGGCTAGGGTGGGGTAGGGCAGCAGCTTGTCTGGCCCCTGAGAAACCCAACTTGAGTCCAGAGCCTCGACCGCTTTGAAGCCAAAGTCTTCCTCCACCTTTATCTGCATGGGAGCCAGCTCCGGAGTCAGCGGGACTCCCGCCTGGCGCCCTTCCCATGGTGCTCGCTGCTTCTTCCACCCGCCGGGCCCCTCACCAGGGGCCGGGCTGCTGGCTTCTGTGGGCGCTGGCATCCTCCTGAGCAGGGATAGCCCCTCTTTCTCTGGAGGCTCGTTCTCAGCATTGCCTGGGGTGGGGGCTTCTCTGCCCTGGCTGCCCTCGTCCTCCAGTAAGATGGTGAACTGGCTGTCCTGGTAGTTGTCGCTGTAGGAGTCCAGCACCCTCATGAGGAACCTCCGCTCCTGCTGGAGTCTCCGTGTTATCCTCTGTATCTGATGGAGCCTGTTCATGACCTGCTCATTCACCTGCTCGATCTCCCTGCAGTGCCAACCCAGAGCCTGGTACTTCCTGCGATTGAGTTCCCATTGGTGCCGCCGCCGGCCTCGGGCTGCCTCCCCCTCTTCGTCTCACTCTCGGAGGCTGGAGCTGCCCAGACCCCCAAACACGAACTCCACTTCAGTCTCAAGCTTGCTCTCCAGGATGTGACCACCGAACAGCGGAGGCAGTGCCAGCTCCGAGCCAGGAGGTGCTGAGAACTCCTCAAAGCCTACGGCTGCCATGGACCCCTTTCTCTGCTCCAGCTCCATTTGTCCCTGGCTCCAGGAGCAGAACTTCCAACCTTGCAAGCCTCTTCAAGTACAAAATGACAGGCCCCATCCAAGTTCACCGGTCAGGCACCCAGGCCCCGGCTGCTAAGCCTCCTGGGAGTTGCAGTTCTCTATTTCCCGCTAGCCTCCCTCGCCCCCCTCATCCCACCCCCACCCCGAGTCCCAGCTGAAAGGCCCTGCTCGCTGGTCTAATGCCTTGGCCAGGCATCTGAGTCCCCTCTGTCTTTATTCTGGTCCCGACACCGTGCATTCTGACCACAGAGACTCTCTGCTTGGGAGGCCCCTGGGTCTCCTTCTGGGTCTCTTTCTGGGGCCAGGGCTGCGCCGCCCCCCGGGGACTGGATCGCGTGCCCCAATGGTGACACAGCCCCGGCCCCTGGGTCTCCTTCTGGGGTCTGGCTGCATCGTCCCCGGGGACCAAATCGAGTGCCCCAGCAGCGAAGCAATCTTGGCCCCTGGGTCTCCTTCTGGGGCCTGGCTGCCTCGCCCCCAGGGACCAGATCGAGTCCCCAGGCAGCAACACAGCCCGGCCTCTGGCCGGGACTCTGGGTGTTCTCTGATCACTGGTGATCAGTGATCTGAGAAGCCAGGCGGGGCAGGGAAGAGGCTGACATCCGCCTCTTCCCTGCCCCACCCGGCTTCTCCAATTACTGGCCCAGAGCTGGCAAAGGCGGCCCAGTTCTCCAAAGGCGGCCCAGCTTCTCTGATCACAAAGGCGCCCGGTTCTCTGGCTCTTGGCTGCCACCTGGGTTTCATCAGCGGCAGGCAGCTTCTTCCGCCCTTCCCCTTTTGCCTCCCATCATTGTGCCTACCTATGCAAATTAACCGCCATCTTTCTTGGCAGTTCATTTGCATATCGCCCTGATTAGCCAATGGGAAGCGTAGCGGAGGTACGGTTAATTACCCTTTTTTCTTTTATTAGATAGGACTAGAGGCCTGGTGCATGAAATTCCTGCACTGGGGGTGGGGGGTCCCTCAGCCTAGCCTGTGCCCACGAACAGTCCAGGAGCTCTCCGGGAATGTCCAACTGATGGCTTAGGCCCGGGGGGAGTGGGCGTAAGCCAGCCGTGGGCAAACTACGGCCCGCGGGCCAGATCCGGCCCGTTTGAAATGAATAAAACTAAAAAAAAAAAGACTGTACCCTTTTATGTAATGATGTTTACTTTGAATTTATATTAGTTCACACAAACACTCCATCCATGCTTTTGTTCCAGCCCTCCGGTCCAGTTTAAGAACCCATGTGGCCCTCGAGTCAAAAAGTTTGCCCACCCCTGGCCTAAGCTGTCAGTCCGACATACTTAGTGCTGCCACGGAGGTGGGAGAGGCTCCCACCACCACGGCTTCACTTGCCAGCTGTCAGCCCTGCTTTTGGCTGAGCGGCATTCTTCTTGTGGGAGCACGCTGACCACCAGGGGCAGTCCTGAGTTGAGTGTCTGCCCCCTGGTGGTCAGTGCGGGTCATAGTGACTGGTTGTTCTGCTGTTCAGTTGATTTGTATATTAGTCTTTTATAGGATTATGTATAACAGGATATTGTAAAAATTAAGTTATGAAATTTTTATTAAAATGTTTCTTACATACCGTTATATTGGCTGGGCTGCAAAAATATTCATTGCAGGCTTAATGCGACCTGCAGGCCGCAAGTTTGACATGCTTGCTTTGCATCCTCTCCAATACTACTTTTTTCTTGTCTTCTTGGTACTAGCCATTCTAATAGGTGTGAGGTGGTATTGCATTTTGGTTTTGATTTGCATTTCCTTTATAACTAGTGAAGTTGAGCATCTTCTTATATATCTCATGGCCATTTGTATGTATTCTTGGGATAAGTCTGTTCAAGTCATCTGCCCATTTTAAAAATTGGATTGTTTTTTTAATTGTTGTTGACTTGTATGAGTTCTTTATATATTTTGAACATTAGCCCCTTACCGGAGGTGTTGTTTGCAGATATCTTCTTCAATTCAGTTTGTTGTGTTGATTTAAAAAAATAATAGAATATTTTAATAAAAATTGATATTTTCTCTTGAATATTAACTTACTAGACACTAAATAATTGCACACATTAATAAGCGCAATGCAAATAAACCTATTTTTCTTGTTCTCTGAAGGCAAAAATGTTTCCTGTTGTGCACACCAAACAAGTCAGTACAAGAATCTGTTGGT